GAGGTAGATACGAGCACTCCATCCGAGGGCTTGAACGCGCTCGGAGGGCTCGGAGGAGTCGAGCTGCCGAGCCGTCCCGACCCCTCCGAGCCCTACTGTGGAGCCCTCCAGCCATCCGAGCCCTCCGAGCCCTCCGAGCCCTCCGAGCCCTCCGTGCCTCCGAGCCCCCCGAGCCCGGCTCGGCGGCTCGCCCCTCCGAGCCCTCCGGGCACTCCATCCCTTGTGAGCCCTCCAGAGCCCTCCCGAGCCCACCAGCGCCACCCTCGTGCCTCTCTGCCCTCCGAGCCCTCCGACCCCTCCGAGCTCTCCACCTCTCCCAAGCCCTCATGAGCCCTCCTACGCCTCGCTTTTGGCCAGCCCTCCCAGCCCCCACCCCTCCTGGGCCCTGCCGCCTGACACCTCTATCGGTGGAGGGCTTTAGGTCACGGTCCGCACTCCCGCCCTCCCGACCCCTCCACACCCCTACAGCGGCACCCCTACCCCTCCCGCCGTTTTAGGGCCTGCCCACCCGCACTCGACATCAGCCTCTCTACTTCCAGGGGAACATCTATGCCACACGCTATCCCTGGGACGGTCCAGCAACCCACACTCTCGCTGCAGTCGATCCAGCCCTCGCACTCCCGGCACTGGAGATCTAGCCGAGGCCCCCAGGCTGGGACAGGATTGGAGCCCCTGTGCTGCGTCTGTGGTGATATGTGGGGGACACTTTCTCCTCCCTATTCATGTGAGTCACTCGACTGCGTCGAGGGGGGGGACGTCTGAACCACAGCGTGTCCCGGTCCGTAGTTTCTCTTCTTATCCGTTACCATGTAGAGCAAGGTCGAGGGCGGGCCCTTTCGGGCTCGGGCCGCCCTCTCGCCCGCACCTCTGCGGGGCTTGCACGACAAGCATCAGATCACCCATTTGGGGAGGGTTGACATCGTGATTTCCGCGGAAAAATTTTTTTTTGGAAAATTCCAGCTTGAAGAGAAAACCCGACGGGAGGGCGCAGACCTACCCTACCTACCCCGGCATGAGGTCCGCCCAAGCAAGAAGAACACACACCTGAGAGCGCGATGAAGAATTCAAGCTTGCCAGCCCTGGGCCTCGTGCCGCGGACGCAGGTTTTCTTTTCGTTTCCAACGTTCTTTAGACCTCGGGAGGCTCCGGGTCTTAACCACGGAGGCGGAGCCTCATCACAGCGCGCGCATCCCAGAGCACATCCTGACCATCTGAGCCTCGGCGATTTCTCGGCTGCAGGCGAAGCGTAAAAAGCCATGTCGACCGCCGACGAATCGATCAAGCAGGCCGTCAAATCGGGCGCCATCGTCGTCGGACTCGGCCGTGCCGCTGGTCCTGCTGCAGACGCACTCCGCGAGGCGCTCGGGGCGCACGCTCGCGAGTGCGCCGATGACGACTGGGAGGCATCTCGCGTCAACCACCTCTGTCTCGTCGTCGAGTGCGGGCCCACGGGCGCGTGCTGCGAGGCTGCGGAGAAGTTCATGCGTGAGGTGCGGCGCAGCGACGGCTACTCTGTCTACTCAGAGATCATCCGCCGCCGCGTCGCCGTGCTTGCGCTTGGCAGGTGCTGCCTTTCCCACGACACACGGCTTTGCTCCTCCTTGACTAGACGAAGGGACTCGCCTACCGCTGTAGGCCTGGCGCAGTCGCTGGCGCGGGCAAGGCAGCGCGACTCGAGGGTGTTTAGTTGCCTTTCTCACATCCGTGACGCACCGTGTTGCCCCCCGTCAGGTGGAGGAGGCGCTGCTCAAGCGCGGAGGGTGCACTCGCCTTCTGCCGCCGCCCAGCATCGGCACGGTAGAGTCTGCGTCCGGCGTCGCGGCCCTGCCATGGACACGGAAGGCCGTGGAGGCGCTGGCGGCGCTGGCGCCGCAGCCGCATGAGCCGGAACCGGTGGAGTAGACAAGAGACAGATCGGCATGCTAGTCTGAGCGTCTCTGAGCCTGAGCCGGTCCCGCGCCGGTCGGTACTGCCGGCAGGGGGAAATTTCTTTTTATTCGGCGGTGAAGAGCTCGCCTCGTGCCACACCACAAGAAGAACAAGAAGACATGGCTGCCCTGCAACGTGCCAAGCCAGGTTGCAGTGAGTGCAGCGTGCAGGGTGCACGAAAGCAATATTTTCCGTGCCCATTCTTTCTAAGAGATTCTTCCCGTTGCCAGACCCAGGACCCGGCAGCGAAGAGCGAAAGAGAGAAAGCGCAGGACGCGAAAAGGAAACAAACTACAAAGGAGAACGATTCGTCCCTCCCTTCCGAAAGAAAACAGACAACCCAAGGGAGGGATGGGAGGACGGCACGCCGCCACCACACAGGGATTTTAAGGAGAGGAGTGTGGTGCTAGCTAGGGTGCTAGCCGTCGCCCACGCCACCCCTATTGTAACCCTTGGTCGTCTGCCTCTTGAGCACTTGAGCACTTGATAGGGTCGATTCCGCATGGTACGGGTAGTCTGCCTCTTTCTAAAGGGCGTAGACACGCCCTTACTCTTTCTATCTCCCTTCGCAGGTCCCTCGCCGATTTCTCGCTGCAACCTTCATGCCACCTCGCGGTCTTCCCACTCTCGTCGTTCTCCCTCCTTTCGTTTCCTCCTCTGTCGCGTCGTTCTCGTCTGCCTCGTCCTGCGACGCCGCCGCCGCCTGCCGCTCCCTTGCTCTCGCGGCTTCTTGCGCCTTTCGGCGCAACTCTGCCCTGCTCGCGGCATATTTTGGCCCCTCGAGTTTATCGAGCTCTCCTCGCGCAAGGACGACTCTTCTGAAGAAAGAAAGAAAGAAAGAAAACAGACAACCCAAGGGAGGGATGGGAGACTCTTAAAGAAAGAAAGAAAGAAAACAGACAACCCAAGGGAGGGATGGGAGGACGGCACGCCGCCACCACACAGGGATTTTAAGGAGAGGTGTGTGATGGGAGACTCTTCTGACGCCCATGCGAGCGCGCAAATTCTTTCCAGGCGGCCGCTTGGCAGCCACATCGCAAATCGCAAACAGTGGCGTTTCGCGTGCTCGGTGGCCTCGCTGCTCGTTGGCCTCGCCGTCTGCTCATTGGCTGCTTCGCTGCACACTCAAAACAGTGCACGTGCGAGCAGGGCGAGCCTTCTCGCGCCCGGTCGAGTAGCCTCATTGGTGTGCGAGCCGAATTATGGGTGCACTGGAGAAGGCGACGCCGCGAGTTGATGAGACCCCGCAAGAGGAGACACTTGTCGCCGCGCTGGAGAAGGCGACACCCGAGCGCGCCACAGCGCCCAAGAATCCGATCCACTGCGGGCTCATTGTCGGACGGCCGCACCAAACTGAGCGCTTGGAAGTGCGGTATGCCTCGCCAGACAGCTGGGAGCGCTTCGACGTGCGACTCGTCCTGAAGGACCCGACCAAAGGGTGCTTCGACCCAGCCGAGCCGGGCACCGACGCTGGGCGCGACTGGCTCGAAGTGGTCCTGCGGCCGGCTGGCGGCGGCGAGTGGCGGCTGCGCTTGCCCGCCTACGCCGCGCACCTCGTTGATCCCACCACGCTGTACGAGATCGAAGACGTCGGCTCCGACGCGCTGAGCACCTTTTGGAGCGACGGCACTTGGTCGGGTTCGCTAGTGTGGGACGCGGCCGTGCATGTGACGGAGGAGATGCTCGGGACGGAGCTGGGCGAGAGGATGCGCGGCACGAGTGTCCTCGAGCTAGCCTGCGGCCTCGGCTTGCCGGGGCTGACGGCGCATTGCCTCGGCGCCTCTCGCGTTGTCCTCAGCGACCGCGGCCAAGTCGTCGGCCTGGTGGAGGAGGGGCTGCGCGCCAACAGGGCTGCGCTCTCGGGAGGCGGACGGCCGGTGCCCGTAGCGGCGGTCCTCGACTGGGGATCGGCCGCCGCTCGCGAGTTGCTGCAGCAGCGGCTCGGCGGCAGCCAACCCGACTGGATCATCGCGTGCGACTGCATCTTCGAGTCGCTCTTCGGCTCCACCGACGGCGTCACGTCGATCTTCCTGCTCCTCCGCGTGCTCGAGCTCCTGTGCTCGCCCACGACTCGTGTGCTCGTGGGACTGGAGCGGCGCACGGGAGACGGTGCCGAGAAGTTCCTCGCCGCCGCCGAGGGCGCGGGATTCGTGGCGTCGCTTCGCCGGCGTCACGGGCGCGTCGTGATTTTCGAGATGGGGCGGGCCCGCATGCCCCGTGCGCATGCCGACGGGGCGACATAGCGACGCATTGCACCGTGCCATATCTTACTAATCCACCGCTGTATGTCTGCTCACACTGACATCATGCCTAGCGCGAGAAATCCTGAGCCCGGCTCTCCCACTCCATGCCGAGCGACCAGCGCAGGACGATGTCGCAAGCCTGCCGGCTCAGACCCTCGTTATATTCGCCACACCGCGCAATCTGGATGCAGCCCGGGCAACCGCCCGGGCGGCCGCAGTCGCACGCCAGCAGTCGGCGGTGCGCGGCCGCCAGCAGGTCGCCCAGCTTCGGGCCGAGCTCGGCGGCGATGCCTGCGGCGGCGGTGAGTGCGCCTCCCGTCACAGCCGCGGCGGGGCGGGCGGAGTTTGTGCGCTTCGCTGCCTGCGCCGCCAGAAATGCGCTCAAAGAGGAGGAGCCGCTCGGCGTGCTCGTCGCCCTTCCGGCGCGTGCACTGGCAGCCGAGGTCGGAGACGCTGCACGAGACGGCGAGCGGGGCGAGCGAGAGCAGGAGGTGCTCTGCCGCGTGCAGGCCGCCGCGCGCAAACGCGTCCCCGCGCTCCTCGAGGGCGTCCCGCAGCGCGCTCGGCGGGTCGAGCCAGAGGCCGCACCTACGGCGAGGTCCCGACAAGGCTCAGGGAGGTGTAGAGGAGGTTTGCGGGTCGAGCGTGAGGCCGCACGTGTCGAAGGAGTGCGGCTTCATTGGCTGGTCGAGCTCGCATTTGTCCAGCAGCTTGCCAGTCAGCTTTGCTTTCTGGCGGTAGCCGTACACGGACTTGCTCACTCGCATCGGGCCGAAGTGGACGGCGGAGGCGGGGACGGTGGTGGTGGCT